GAAAATAGATTGTGATAATTTGGCTTGTTTTTCAGTATTTTATTATTAGTAATATTATTATTAAATTGTTTTTTGTGCTTAGTGGACTACTGCTCGTCCCAGACTCCCTAGCTAGGCACCTCCGCCTATGGTGCTCGGCCTCCCATCCGTAATACGGGCGCTTTAGACTCAGGGTAATTTGTGATACATTAAAAAAAAATGCATCTTATACGCCGGCAAATACGGTAATTCATACCCAAGTATAATAATTAGTACTTTATAATTCATACCTGTGATCCTGTTGTTTTTAATTAGCACCCAATATTCCTGATAGATACTTCTAATCTCAACCGCACCACCACCTAAGCCCTGTTTAATACAGGTATTGAAATTCCAGATGAGCTTTACATATTTTCTGAAATTGAACTTTCCATAATACAAACTGAAAGTGATCCTTATAGTTTATTTTCCTTACAGATATACAGTACTGTACTATATTGGTATTCTCTCTCTTTTGTTTCCTTTTGCTAATGTACAGTGGTCCCTCGGTTAACGAGCACAATCCGTTCCAGCAGGTTGCTCATTAACCGAAAAACTCGTTAACCGAAACCATTGTTTCAATGGGTTTTTGGGTAATTGGTTCCAGCTCACCGAAAATTGCCTAAATTCAACAAAAAAGGTAGAAAAGTACACTTACTTTGAGGTGTGTATGTAGAAGGCTCCTGGATGATGATGATGATGATGATGATGGGAATTAGAATGGGGATGGAGGAGAAGGGAGAAGAGAAGGCATTGGGGTGGAAGAGAAGTCACCCCATGGCACCATTTCACCCATAAAATTTTAGTTCTCTTGGTGTAATTCAAGATTATTTTCTTTAAATCAACAGTGCACTGCATTATATATTGTCAATATGTAAAAATTTTTCAAAATGACCAATAATTTGCTTGGAAACACAGAAAAAAAGTGTTTAGTTGAAGAGAGTCTCAAGCAAGATGTTACCTCCACTGAAAACAGAGAGAGACTAACGCCCGTCTGGTGTGTTAACAGGCTGGATGGCACACCAGAAACTACTGTAGTTTCTTTACCTTCAATTATGTTCAATAATTGTTAAAATGACTAAAAAAGTTAATATTAAACTTTTAAAATTATTGAATAGTATAAACTTCTTGATATTTACTAAAAGGGTAAGGAATTTAAGCCCTAAAACCGATTACTGTATTGGCGGATTAATACTACAGCTGGTGGACCGCCAAATGCAAGCGAAAACATGTTGAAGTCAGCTCGTAAAAAACTCGTTAATCGAGGGATTGCTCGTTAACTGAAGTTAAGAATCTTATGGAAGGTAAATCGTTAACCGAAATCTCGTTAACCGAGGCGCTCGTTAACCGAGGGATCACTGTAATGCAGAACTGTATATGTTTCAACAAATGTAGATAGACCCTTTATGAAGGTGCTGTGTGTTGTACTCAGCCTCTGTTACATTTGTCAGCAGGCAAAAGTTTTTTGGTTTTCTCAGTTTTTATTACTGATAATTAATTAACCCTTTACTGCAGCTGGTATAGTTGCAGACAAAAGTCCTGTCTTGCTGTCAGCCACAATGTGAAACTGACACACCTGAGGTTAGAACAATGTAGCCCAAAAAGAAAGTTCTTTATTGTACGTATCAATAAATGATACAGTGATATAATGTTAGCTGGAATAATTGGTGCAGAGCTCCTCTGGGTATGGAGACAAATTTTTCATCCCAGGAAAAATTTGCGCATTCGCAGAATTTTTGGGGTACATTATTGGGAAAAGTTTTCCTAGAGTCTAGACTACTCATATTGCATCTCCGGAATGTTTCCGGGTGCTGGGAAAAGTTTTCTGGGAGTCTAAGCTACGCATCTCGCAAAGGCAGACAGAGTTTTATTTACGCAAACACCACTGTACACCTACAATATATTATTAATGAACAAAATAGACTACTATACACTATACTGCCTTTGTCCTGTACTGTACCATCTACTGTAGTAGGTGTTACTGTCACTCTCTCCTCCGTCTCCATGAAGGAGGTATTGTACACACACTGTATGCTATATTACATACACCTCTGCACACTAGCCTGCAGTAGGCATACACAGTCCATTTTGTTATGTACAGTAATGTTTGTACAGTACTTTGACAATTACTGAACGTACAGTACAGTATAGGGAACTGTTATCACATTTTATGTCTTAATACTGCTGTAACTGTAGTCTTGGTTGATTGTGTCCTGGTACAGTTATGTACTGTACAGTACTGCATAATACAAATTGTATGCAAAAACAGTAGCAGGCGATGGAATAACCTTGTACAATGGCAGCAGAATATGAACTATGGCCTAAATTACCTAATCAGCTAGCCCACCCAAACACCTGGCTATCTCCATGGCACTGACAGTAGGGCATCTGGTGTCCCTTGAAAGGGTAACGATTCAGATTATTGCTTATTTCTCTCTTATTATCAGTTAGCTTGTTGGTACAGTATCTGACTGTATTGGTCCAATCTTGTCTTGTGTTTTAGTTTGATACTTTTAGAAGAATCCCTTAGGGTTTGGCTTTGCCTGCCTCACTACCTTCAGTTCATTATTCCTCTTAGCTTTTCTTATCTCTGCCTTAACCCGACTGTTCAATACTTTATAATAATCATGGAGATAAACATCACTCACCACAATTGATTCTCCTACCTGTAGGCTTCCTTTGTCCTGGTTCTGTTGGATGAGAAGTGCTCTAAGTATGCAGCAAAAAGCAGTGTCCTATCTTGTCCTCCTAATTCTAAACAGTGTATCTTGGCATTCGCTCATCAAGATGCTTTGGTTGTAGGTGTGTTTTACCTTGGGGTGTTTAACAGAAAATTATCTCACAGAGTCATTGGTCACTCATTTCTTCCCCATGGTTATAAAATGGGTTAATTTACATTAAAAATAACTCAACAAAATTTTACATGTAGTGTGTATGGAATTTTTTTTAACCTGGCAGTTTAGTAAAAGATTGTTTAGGTCATTCATGTCACAATTAGAAGAAACAGATAATTATATAAAAGCCTAAATAATAGCACTTTACCATCAGCTACAACTCACCTGATAAACACATAATGCCTTCATTTCACAGTGATGGATTGCATTCTTTTTCTTCTACAAAGTGCCAGAGCAATAGTATTATATCTTCTTAGAAATTATATTTACAATAGTTAATTTTGCTTAGTTCCTTGACTTTATATACTGTATATACATGAAAAAAGTCATAAATTTCATGGAATCACATAAAAAATATGATGGATTATGTGCATGTATGTATTAATGTTTTTTGAAAACACTTGTCCCTGTTTGTTTCTTAAATCAAAACCAAAGGCTGCAGATGTAACTTTATATTGTCATGTGTGTATATATTGTAATTGGGTACAGTACATCATTTACCACAAGGTTTAACTGTGTTTTACCTTCTTGTAATGCTCAGTCCAGGGCCCAGAAGCAATTATAATAAATACAATGCTCAATCCAGGGCCCTACACTGAAGCTGGAAACAAGAATACAAAAACTTCGCTCTCTAATTGGGTATCGCTCTCACTAACCACAAACCGTATGTGCAGTTTCTTTTTTTACTCTTGATGAATATTAGTTTGCTGCTTTTTTAATTTTTTGCTTCTTGCTTTTATGCTTAATTTGTGTGCCATGTTTAGTACTAGAGTATATTATTATAATCATTAAGATGTGTATTAGTATTGTACTGAACACTTAATGTTGCTTGTCTTTGCTTTCATATTTTTTCCCAACATACAGAGTCCTGTGTTATATAGTGTGCAACATTTAGCATGGTAATACCATTACCTAGAGTTAATTGTGCTGGAATGTTTTTTAGGGACCAAAATAGGACACCCTTAGGTAGGGCAGCATAGCATGGTGTGTAGAGTAACTGATTTTTTCTATAAATTGTTGAAGAAGCATCTAATGAGTGGAAACACAAGAACTATTTTCCCCAACAATCTTTTGTCAAGAAGCATTAGTACTTGGTATGAATGCCTCAACAGGGAGCTGGAATTGAAATACTGTACTGTATTTGAAATAAGGTATAAATTCAAGAGATATAGTATCACTCTATAAGCAGGCAAAACAAAAACAAAAAACATTAAGTGCATTAATAGTGTTGGGTGTTGGTTATTTAGCTTGTAAACATATAAAAAACAAACAAATTATGAATATGATTTTTTGATGATGGCTGGTCTGTAGAATTTGTAGCAGATTTGTGACTCGGGTAGTTCACACCAGTAACAAGAAAGTCACATATTACCTTGGCCACTGGATATATACTATAGGGCGACTGCTGGATTTGCAGTCTTTTTTAGAAGCCTTTTGAGAAACTCCAGTTTCATAGCATGGTGAAAGGTGTATGCTCAGAAACTGGCTCCATTGGGATATAGTATATCTTTTTTTAATTGTATCATGTAGCAGGCCTTGAGATTATTTTTCAATAAGATCATGATAAGATGTGAGTACAGTACTGTATGTGAAAAAGCATTGGAAAGATTTTTTCCAAGAATTAGCTTATACAGTACTTTACACAGATATAGTAAATGGCAACTTTGTGTTATCGGTGTACAACAGCCCTTCCTTGCCTTATAACTCTAAATATTGAAGAATTGATTAGAAGTTCTCTGTAGAGCTGCATGAATTTTGAATAAAGAGAATATTTTTTATACATGATGTATAAACATTCCTCAGCATGTTTGATTATTGCTTGTGAGTAAATATGGAGAATTAATAAGAGGTTATGAAAGATGAAGTCACACAGATATAAAGGACTGATTAATCCCTTAATGACTCTGTTAAGAGTTATACAAGCTACAGTATGTACAAGTTGTGCCCCACTATTATACATTACTGTATTTACAGTAGTGTTTAATGAGATAATCACAATAAATGTTTTTATTCACTTGTAAACTGAATAGCAATTCCTGAGATTGGTAATATGAATTGGGGTAAGACTATATACCTTTTTTCTCGCAGCTGGCTCCAGGTGACATCATATGGGAGGTCAATGGGCAAGAGGTTATCACCTTCACCACAAAGGAAGGTCAGTCCAATATACTGTGCCAGTGACTAGATCATTAGTGTCCTTACAAATAATGGCCCAAAAGTAGACATTTCACAATCACATTTTAGCCAAATTTTCCAAAGAGGGTTTGAGACATTGGCATAATATGGTCAGATAATGTCAAAATTAGTTTTGTATTTGTAGGGATGAAGATCTGAGTTAGGCATCCAGCTGTTGTAGTACTTTAATGTGGATGTTAGGTCATTTAAGTACCTGGGAATTAAGATCAAGGACTGTAACTGAGGTTGGTGTAATTAAAAAGCAATGTTCTGCTTTATATATATATACCGGTGTATATATATATATATATATACCGGTGTATATATATATATATATATACCGGTGTATATATATATATATATATATATATATATATATATATATATATATATATATATATATATATATATATATATATATATATATATATATATATATATATATATATATATATATATATATATATATATATATATATATATATATATATATATATATATATATATATATATATATATATATATATATATATATATATATATATATATATATATATACACACATACATACAGTATTACCCCGCCTAACGCGGTTTCACTTAACGCGTTTTATCATATACGCGGTGCCTCGCCAGAGCTGAACTTTCACTTAACGCGGTGAGTGTCCAGCTCGAGACGCTATTTTTGGATTTTGCCCACGCGCCGCCCGCCTCTCCCTCCTCCTCCCTCCGCTTGGGCAAGCCGCGCGGTAAGGTTGCGCAGTGTGTGTCTTTGTTGCGTTATCACTGACGTCATATGACGTATCGGACTGTGATTGGCCATGCATCCCTACCCCCCTCTGCTGCTAGCTGTAATTGGCTTAAAGTATTATGACGTGACCACCCCGGGGAGGGAGGGAGGGAGGGAGGAGAGACGATGCTTGACCTAGCTGCGGCAGTTTCATCCCTCAAGGCCACACCGTGTAAACGCGCATCCATTGTTCCGTAAAATGGCTTCCGCCAGACCACCACCGCCCCCAGAGAGAGACCTTTCCTTACCTGGACCCAGCGGCACTAAGCCAAAGAAGATACGACGTTCATTAAGCTACGAGGTGAAGTACCAAATTGTTCAAGATTTGGAGAAAGGAAGACGGCAAGTTGATCTCGCGCGCCAGCATGGCGTCAACGAATCTACGATTCGCACGATCAAGAAGGATGCAGCCAAGATCAAAGAGCACATGAAAATCACAAAGTCTGCAGGTGCTTCATCTATCAGGTATTGCCAGAACAGGGTGCTGGCAAAAGTGGAAAATTTGCTGGTGAGTTATTTGATTCGTCAGGCGCGACGCAACATGGCGGTGGACACGCGCTCAGTGCAGGAGTACGCACGTGAGCTATACGCAGCAGTGTCACGTAAACTGGGAATTGCTGAGCCCAAACCCTTCAATGCTTCCTCTGGTTGGCTGCATAGGTTTAAGAAGAGGAACAAGATCACCAACATCAACATTGGTGGTGAGGAAGCGAGTGCTGACCGTGTGGCGGCTAGAGATTTTCCTCCGTTTTTACGTGAGATTATGGAGGAAGGACAGTACAGTGACGACCAGGTGTTTAACATGGACGAATCTGGTCTTTTCTGGAAAAAGTTACCTTCCAAGACCTTCGTTGTCCAGTCTGCCAGCAAGGTAAGGGGTCGGAAGTTGCAGAAGGAACGCATCACCGTCCTGTTTACCACCAATGCCTCCAGTACCTGTAAACCAAAGTTATCGGTGATTCACACAGCCCGCAAGCCGCACGCCTACAAGAATATGGACATGAACAAGCTTAATGTCCACTGGCTAACCGCACGTAAGGCGTGGATGTCCTCTTCTCTGTCCCTCTTCTGGTTTGACAACTGTTTTGTTCCCGACGTGAAGAAATTCTGCGAGCAACAGAATGTTTCATTCAATATTTTGTTGCTCCTTGACAACGCACCTGGACACTCGCCCCTACTTATGGATCGTCACCCCAACGTAAAAGTGGTCTTCCTTCCTCCCAACACTCCGTCATTAATCCAGCCCATGGACCAGGAGTTGATCTGCAATGTGAAAGCTGCGTACTCTGCAAAGAAGTTCAAGCTCCTGAACGACTCTACCAACACCAAGGATGAGTTGCGTAAGCTGGGTGACACCGACAGCGAGAGCAAAAGCGACGAGGACAAGGAACAAGAGGCGGTGACTCAAGAACTTCTCGTCAAACAATTTTGGAAGAAGTTTAACGTTAAACAAGCTGTAGACTTCTTGGTGGAGGCATGGGATCTGCTGACTATTGCTACGATTCGTCACGCATGGAAACATGTGTTGCATGGCATACCAGGTGAGAGGAGGAGTGAACCTGTGACTGGTCAGGTTCAGACTGTTGCAGTAGCAGTGGACCTTGCCAGAGAAGCTGCGCTCAATATTACAGCTGAAGGCTTCTCCGAGACCACCAATGAAGACATCCTGGAGGTGATCAAAGATCCTGAAGTGACTGCCGACGAGATGTTGGAAGAAGAACACGCCAGTGAAGAGGAGGAAGAAGGTGCGTCATTCTCCGAAGAACCTAGTTTAAGTCATAGTGATATTAAGTGTGTCATAGAGTTTACAGAAAAAATTAAGTCCGTCCTTTCCCGCGACAATGACGATGAACGCTATGAAGTCTTCCATACCCGACTGGTGCAGGCTATGGAGCCGTACATCACGGTGTATCATGACAACATCAAAGCCAGCCGTCAGCAAAGCATAACCGAGTTCTTCGCCCGCAACCCACCACAGCCAGCCCAAGCCAGTGATAGTGAAAGTGAAGTTGACTTTGAGGGATTTGTCAGGGAAGCCCTGACAACTGTAAGTGACAGTGATGCTGATTCACCTAGTAATGGTGATTCACCTGAGGGCCAGTAATCTGCCCTCTGCCTCGGAACCAGCCTCCATCCCCGTATGCCGACCCATCTCTTCTACTACCGTAAGTGTTCCACAAAATTTTTCGTTTTTTAACCTATTCTTTATTTTTCCTATGTTAACCTTTATCTTTCCTAACCTAACCTCTTCTATATTACTTGTTTTTTCATACCATCATAAAGTTATGTGTCGTCAAAAAGTGGAGTTTGGGGGTCGGGCTGGGTTCTATTGGAATTAATCCCATATGTTCTGTTGTTCACTTAACGACGGATTTCACTTAGCGCGGGACCCTCTGGGTTCAATTGACCGCGTTAAGTGGGGTACAACTGTATATATATATATATACATATATATATATATATATATATATATATATATATATATATATATATATATATATATATATATATATATATATATATATATATATATATATATATATATATACTTCTGGCAGTTAAAGTAACCCACAGAATTACACATGAGAGGAAAGTGAGAAGCCTTGTCAAAAGTGAATAACAACATATGGGATTGAGTGAATAGAGACGAACCCATTTAAACACAATTAATAATTAAGAAATATCAATAATAATAGGTTTTTTAACACACATTGTAGTAGAAAAGATGGCTGGGCACACGGGGATGGGCGGTTGGTTCCGAGGCAGAGGGCAGATTATTGGCCCTCACCTGTATCACTTGTATCAATTGTATCACTATCCACCACAGAGGCTTGCAGGGCCTCTTTGTCAAACCCCTCAAAGTTCATATAAGTCCATATCCTCACTATAATTATCACTATCACTGACTTGGGCTGGCTGTAGTGGGTGGCGGGTGAAGAACTGGTAATGTTTTGATGACTGGGCGACCTTGTGCGCACCATGTTCGCGCCGCTTACACAACATGGCGGATGGCGGGAGGTTTGGATCCAAAAATGGCCCGGCTTGCCAGCCGCACTCCGCGTAAAGGGGTACACGCACCGCGGAATGTGAGCATCCTGGGTTCCGGCAGGGCACCTCGTAAACGTGGAAACGCGGAATGTGGGACCGCGTAAAGTGAGGGTTGACTGTATATATATATAATGTGCAAGTAAATCACTGTAGGTGTGCGTGATCCAGGTATATGCTTATAACCACAAGGAAAGAAGAAAACACGAAGTACCCAAGCGCTTTCATGTACAGTTGTACCCCACTTAACGCGGTCAATAGAACCCAGAGGGTCCCGTGTTAAGTGAAATCCGCGTGAAGTGAACAACAGAACATATGGGATTAATTCCAATAGAAACCGGCCCGACCCCCAAACTCCACTTTTTGAAGGCACATACCTATGTTGTAGTAAAAATAACATCTTAATTTTATGATGGTACATGCACACAATTAATACTTAAGAGAAATAGAGAAATACAGTCGCCAAGTTAATGTCCATTCAAATAATGGACTCAACTCCCTCCCCCTCTTCTCACACTACACTGCTGGCTCTTCCCTCTGAGAAATTTTTGGGGGAAAACCACTAAATTTTAATAAATAATACCTCAAACTAAAGTTAGGATAATGCAATTGACATTGCTGGATTCCTTGTAAGACCAGGAATATTTTGAATATAAATGTCATATATTTTGCACAAAAGATAACATAGTTACCTAGAGAAAAAATTTTATCTAAAATTTGTATGTTTAATGAAAAATATATGATGTTTATATTCAAAATGATCATCAAATTATAAGAATTCCAGCAATGTAAATTATATTCTGACCGGGTAATTTGTATGAATTTTATGAGCTAAAACAAATATCTTCAGTTAATAAAAAAAAAAATAATCTTCACGACACTATCTGTCAATCAAAGTACCCCACCTTGCCTCCCCCCTCTTCCAACCGCGCGGTCAGTCCCAACCCTCCCCCCCACCCCCCACCAATCCTCCCTTCCAGGGTTTTTAACATTTAGTATTAAATAATACCTCAGATTAAAGTTAGGATAATATAATTGACATTGCTGGATTTCTTGTAAGACCAGGAATATTTTGAATATAAATGTCATATATTTTGCACAAAAGATAACATAGTTAATTTGAGAAAATTTTTTATCTAAAATTTG